ACGTTTTCAATAGGAGACAGCTCTGGACTGTAGGCCAGTTTAGCACCTGCACTCTCACTACCAAGCCGCATTGTTGTAATATGTGGAGAAGGTGCCTTGGCATTGGCTTACCAAAACAAGCAGGGACATCCCTGAGAAAGGTGTTAGCTAGCTGGCAGCATATGTTGGTCCAAATTGCATATGAACCCCTCAGCATTAATAGTGCCATCACAAATGTGCAAGTTACACAACTGTACTGTGACAGATGCTTTGTGTGATAGATGCTAAACTTTGTGTTGCTAACAATCGTGAGGGTCCTTTTGCTCTTTGGCCGAGAGAACACAACATCCAATATTTCCAAAAACCATTTGAAAGATAAACTCAAAGCACATGTTTCCACTTTGTGTCAGTCCATCTCAGATAAGCTTTAGCCCAGAGAAATCGGCGGTGTTTCTGGAAGTTATGTATGTGTCACTTTCGCTTTGCAAGGTTGTGTCTTAACTTGAATTTGTAGATGCAAATTCTGTTACTTAGAAGGATTTTCTGAAGTATTCTTGAGCTTATGTGGTTGTATTCATAACAGAAGCATGTTGGTTTTAAATTCAGTGCTGTCTAAGTGATCAAAGGTCATGGGCTTTTAGTACAGGTTTTTGGCCTTGACCTCTACACACAGATTCTCCAGATTCTCAGAATCTTTAATGTTATGGATTGTAGATAGAGAAACCTCTAAATTCCTTGCAAATTTGTTTTAAGAAACATTTTTCTTAATCTGTTGGACTATTCAAGCACAAAATTATTTGCATAGTAGTGACTGAGCCTTTTGTAAATGCTCCTTTTATACGCTATCATGATAGCATCACCTGTTACCAAAATCGGCAGGGCCCACCGGGAGGCCAAAAGTTTTATTACACACTTCCATAACCTAAGAATAGCTCAACCAGTTAGCAGAGGTCCCTGTAGTTACTGAATAAGAAGCCTTAGTATGTAAAAAAGCTTGGGGTTTTAAGGGGTTAACTTTCCAGTCTTACATTGTCTCTGTCCCAACTTTTTTGGAATGTGCTGCAAGCACCAAATTTGGAATTAGTGTATATTTAGTGGAATTAGTGTATATTTCCAAAAACTTAGTTAGTAAAATATTAAATATCTCTTGTTTATGCTGTTTTAAGCTAAATACCTGTAAAAATTCACAAATCTGTTTTTTGGAATTGGTTTTGTAAACAAAAATGAAAAATTGTATATTTTTTTTTATTCACCGAAATCATTCTGTGAAGGCTGAAAGGCCTAAAAAGTGTTGAGGGCTCTCTTCTGTTTTTATGCAATGCGCTTTTTTCAATTTTTATAGATAACAGTATGTCATACCATACCAAGACCACTTAGGCAAGTCTGTTTTAGATGACTTAACAAATATGTACAGCATGATGCTGATTGTTAGCTTTTATTCAGCTTCATTACTTGTTAGCTACATTGTTAGCTATATTGTTAGCTGCAGTATAAAACTAAAAAAGTGAACTTTGGACATTAAACATGTTTTGGCTCATAGACTAATGACAGGATTTGAGTAAATTTAATTTTTGGTAAATTTTTGTTTGTATTTGGGCCAGCTGGGGCCTAAACACAACCCATCAGAAGGTCTAGTCCAAGCCTATGCTCAGATAAAACCCATATAGCCCAGTTAAAACATGGACATACTGGCTGGAGTGCTTTGCACCTAAAAACAGGGAATGCCTGTTCTTGCTGGGTTATAACATGTTAATATAAAGTTTCTGGAAAAAATGGGCATTCATGAGACACTATGGCAGGTGGGTTAAAAAGTTTATTTTCCACTGGAATCTAACCAGATATTTATACACAACTCACCAATCTCAAAGGAACACACAGGAATACAACCAGCATGTATTAAATTAGACCCGGCTATTTGAGGTTTCCTTTGTTTCTGTGAAAAAATAGAAAAGATAGAAAGATGACTTTGCAACAAAAGCTAAATGGTTCTCCAGAGTCTATTAGTGTATTTTTCTGGAAGTTGAACTGAAAAGACCTGTTTTCAAATGTTTCTGACAGAGTTGTTAGCTTTGATTTTGACTTTGCAGTTATTTCCAGCAAAAGACTGTATTTGATGCTTCGTTGTACTATAACTACCCATATGCAGCTCTTATGGCTTTGTAATTTTTCCACAGTGCCAGAGAACATACAGAAATCCGCTGTATGCCATGTTCACAGCAATTTTCTGCTGACAGCAAATGAATTTGCAACATGAAACACAGTGCTTTGCACAGAGAGCCAGTTATGTGTACACACTGTAGTTTTAAACTCACATCAAGGCGCATCTTATTATCGCACGATAATAAAACGAGCCATTTTATATTTCTCTACAAATCGAAGGCCAGCTCCAAAAGAAATTAAAAGGCTGTTCCACCTCTTAAGTTGAAAGAAAAGTAATTTTCTTCCCCATTTGCTGTCTCTAGAGTGCGTTCTGTGTGCGGCAGCGGCAGACAAAAGGCCGGCCGAGCTCAGCATTGTTCAAGGAGGGAAAGTGGGGAAGAACTAATGTTTCTTTTGAAAAATCTCACTTTTAAACCACATTCAGAACACACACACACACACACACAGCTGCAGATCACACACTCTAAGCAGCGTTAAAGGAATAGTTCTTTGCAAATTCAAATTCACCCAGTTTTACTTCGTACCCCACATGTCGTTGATTGGCCACAACATGTTTGGTGTTTGAAGGTTGGATCTGGCTAGCTAGCCATCACTTTGACTAAAGCAAAGCCTTTGACTGTGTCAACCACATGAAAAATTAAGGAATGTTCTCAGGAAAATTGGCATACAAGAGCATCGTATATTTCTAATAAGGAATATAATTATACAATTATATATTATATTTCTACACTGATCAACAAGTCTGATAAAATGGACAAATATCAGCAAAAGTGTTTGACAATGCTGCATACTACCACCATGCATGTTTGCAGAACATATAAAGAGAGAAGCAGGACTGGAAAAAGATGATCGAGGATTCAGGACTAGTGGAAGAAACATCAATAACCTTTGATACGTGGGTGATGCAACACTCAGTGGCAAGTCTTGAAAAGCTGAAGGCCCTATAAAGAGAGATAAAGAACAGAGTGAAAGGATGGGACTTTAGCTGAACTGAAGAAGACTAAGGTTATGGCTACAAGAAAGACCACTAACTTTACCACTGATGAAGAAGATGTGGAAATGATGGACAGCTCTTGCCCACTCGGATCAAATATATTATGCTAAAGGTAAAAGAGGAAGAGGATAACAAGAACGAGCCATTCAGATGCCCGAAGACCCAAACAGGATATTCTAGAGAAACAGTATCCATATGTTTTTTTTTTCATTTTAATTATTCAGAAGGATTCAGAATCAATATTATTATTGATTCTGAATCCTTCTGAATAATGAAAATGAAAAAAATGAAAAAGAGTCAGTCTGAATTGACCAAACACACTGTGTTGTCAACCATGTTCTTAAAATATGATGATTGCTTGATTTCTGGGTAGTAATTTTACTGCAATTTAGTTATTAATACTATACAGCTTTCTCAGTCATTTTATAATCTTCTACAGCTCTGTTCATTATTCTGAATACATCTATAAAGTCTCTAAATATCTCTGAATGAATCCAGCCAGTCTACAGCCATGGATGTGAATGATGTGTAATAAGATAATCATTGATGTGTGTGTGTGATTGGTGAACGATAAATAAACAAATCTCATCAGCCAATCAGAGGTCCAATCTAACGCAGCCAATCAGTGGTCCTGCGTTACACGCCTGATCACTGTATTGAAATGATTACATCATTACTGAACAGTATGTTGTATGTGAATAAAAATGTGTTTGAATGAATCCTTTGCTTTGGAGGATGGACAGAATAAGAGTGGATGAAGGAGCTGATTACTTCATTAATAACTCAGCAGATAAATAATGAACACTGAGACAAATGTGAGCATATGTATGTGCAGCGGAGGAGGATGTGCTGATCTGAGTGTGTGTCAGTGTGTGAGGATGATGTGTGAGCGGTGGAGTCTGTGATTGATGAGCAGTTCAGGTGGATTTGTGTGAGTGTGTGTGAGATGTTGATGGTGAGTGAAGGTTAAAGTAATGGACACTGACAGCTCCCTCTCTGACTTTAATTACTGACCATCAATTACATTACTGCCCCAAACCCACTCTATTATGGAGTACAACTAAGTGTGTGTGTGTGTGTGTGTGTGTGTGTGTTTATCCAACTACAGGACTGGAACTGAAATTTAAACCTTTAGTGGACGTTTTTGAGCGTTCAGTGTTTCTCCTACAATAAAACAGGTGTGCCATCCAGCTAGGGGTGGGCATTATGATGATATCTTAGAGTTATGATAAATCATGTCACAAAATGTTTTTCTAAGCATATCATGGACATCGTCAGTACTTTAAGAACGCTGACACTAACTACATGCCTTATTACAAAGTGAGCTAATTAGGCCTATTTAATTATATTAAGTACATTTAGCACATTTATTTATTATCTCTATTTTAATGTACAGATGCAATCCCAACTCTGATGCACATCCAATTGTTGATACAGAAGCCATTAAATAGTTTCACACAGCTGATATTTGAACTGTTGATCTGGTGCTCTAACTGTTTAAATGTGTCTGCACAAACCAGTACAGGAGAGTTAAAAAACAGATGTTTTTAATCACTATTTCTCTTTTTCTTTACCATTTAAATTATTTTTGAAAATGTTTAGATATTTAACCTTTATTTAATCTTTTTTAATATAAAATTTCAGCCTTTTTTCTCTTTATAGTGGTCAATTATTTTATTGTAGTCTTAATTGGCAGATAAATACATTTTTGTGACATGACAAAAACAAGAAATCAAAACTTTATCAATGTTTATATACCACTAAATCCTTTTTAAAAGGTATTGAAGTGCATATTTTAGTGTACTAAATAACTGTGTGTGTGTGTGTGTGTGTGTGTGTGTGTGTGTGTGTGTGTGTGTTTTGGCAGATTGGGAATCTGGAGGGGCATTACACTCTCAGAGGCAGCGCCAGCAGCCCAACACTGGAACATACACTTGCTCTCCATGCTGGGGTGAGTGGACAAATGTATGGCCTGTCTGACCGTTGACCTCTTTGGGAAACTTCACAATCACTAGAAGCATTTTCATACTGCAGTTTGTATTGTATCAAATTCAGCTCATAAGCTGTAGTTGTGCATTAAAACGTCAAAGTGTCTCTGTAGTGGGTGTGTTAACTTATTTTCACTTAGAAAATCAATAAAATGCATAATTTGACCAGGTGTGTTCAATCCTTTGCATAATTCTTGCAGTCAAGCTTTTTTGATAGAATTAATGCTTGCTTTTGTACTATTTTTGATAAAATGGATTAACCCGTTCTGTTCCTGAGCTCCACTAGGTCGAGCTGTGTGTGTTTACTCTAGATGAGGAGGATGAATTCTAGCTGTTTACTCATACCATCACAAACCGGCAGAACATTAGACTAGCAGAACTGGTGCTTATAAAGAGTGAAAAAGGCTGTGAGCTTGAAACAAGAGGAGTTTGCGGCAAAAAGAGGCACTTAAAAGAGACATAAATAACAACGTGTGGAGTTATGTAAGTTTTTCAAACTTATTTATGTTTTATGTTCTGTCTTGTTATTTAACATATACAAAAATAAGCCTTGTTTTCAGGGTTTCAAATACAGTTCAGACTATACACCGATCAGGCATAACATTATGACCACCTCCTTTTTTCTACGCTCATTGTCCATTCTATCAGCTCCACTTACTGTATAGGTGCACTTTGTAGTTCTACAATTACAGACTGGAGTCCATCTATATATATCCATAGTCCATATATATATATATATATATATATATATATATATATATATATGAATTATATAAATGTAATTTAAGATCTTAGACCAGTTGCAAGCTGTTGCCACCTTTGCTTTTTAAAAACCCAACCATCTGTAAACAAGGGAAAACAGCATTTAATAAAGCAACACTTTGAAAATCATAAAATTGATATGGCAGGTAAATATTTTAACTTATGGAGCTATCGTTTACCATGTGTTAAGCTTGCAAAGAGCTAAAAACAGCCTGAATATTTCTGAAAATTGAAGTGGTGTGCAATCCTGTCTATGCATGTTGTTACTATTTGCACAGTATTTTATGCATTGAAGGGAAAAAAGATCAGATTAGTTATAAATGAGATATCAGAAAGTTTCCATTTATCACAAATGTAGCTCAAATAAGGTATATTTATATTAAGCTGTTGTAAAGATCAGACAGAGTAATATTACAGCAATTCTCAGACTAAAATGATTCTCAGTGGATGACATTTAGAACGTAAATAGTACCTTAAGAAGTCAATCAAATAGTCCCTTTTTTGGTCCATGTCAGCTAGCTAAAGTCTTTCTATGGGAACACGTCCTCCGCATGTTGAGGCATACTGCCATGCATGCGAGCATACATTTTTGTTGCAAGTTTTTTCGTATGTACAATGTGCATGTGCAAACTTCTGACAGCATCACCGATTTTCGTTTTACCAGCAATGGCATCATGACACTGTTATGTTACTGAAGAAAATTTGCCATGACTGTGTGTGACATCTGCCATAACATAACATCATGTCAGTGCAGCAGGTTCAAGGTGTTATTGGCAGAAAAAGCACTCCAGGCAGTGTGGTTAGTAGGGTGTAGGTGGACAGTGGTCAGTTGGGCTGTGGTCGGGTTGTATCTGCTGCACTCCGCTGGTTAATATGCAGATCAGGTTGCTCTGATGGTTTCTGTGATGGCACAAAGCCATTTAACACTGCTGACTCTGCACTTCCCCCCACCCTTGAGGGTCTACACACTTCAGCATCTTCATTCTCCCCAGATCTATAAAGAGAGAGGGAGAGAGAGAGAGAGAGAGAGAGAGAGAGAGAGAGAGAGAGAGAGAGAGGGAAATTTAGTGGAGGGATAAACTTGGTGTCTATGCTTAATCCCACAATAAACTGTGTAATAACAGGGATCTTATAAGTTTACTGTTTGTCACACACATATCATTTATACTGGTGTGCAGCATGCCAGATTATATTACAGCTGTCCCTATCAATCAAGTGGTTTCTATAATTATGTTGATGATTAATGAAATAAACAAAACAACAATAGGAAATTTACATAAATGAACAGTATTGACCCATACGCAACTTTCCAAACATGCTTTACTGGGAGAATTATGCAAAATATGCTTTTTTATAATCGTGCAAACTGACAACTAATACTTGCCAATTCATTTTCACATTTATTATTATTATTTTGTTTTTTTTATTGAATAATTGAAATTAGCCCTAGGTTATATGATAAAGATTATCTGACCATCAGCCTATGGTGCAGCAAAATGACACAGTCTGTTTAGGTCGTTCATCTGCTACACCCACTTTATAATGGTGTGTTGTGCTTCATCCCATGTCACTCTCCTATTGGTGGATTTTTAACCATGCTGGTCACTCATTGGTGTTTTAAGTGATGGGAGGAGCCTCTTGTTAACACAATTTGTTGCCCACATCACAGGTTGCTCATGAGTATTATGATAGGTAAGCTCTTAGAGCAGCATTGCTGAAGGGAGAGAGCATGCTGTGGAGAGCAGAGTGTGTTGGGACAATTATTAATGTAGTCGTAGTTAATAATTCTTAGTTAATAATAAGTTAGCCAACATTTTGAATACAGTTGTCACTTTGGAACAGTTTAAAATGTTCCAGTTTTTGATTATGTCCTGTGAGACTTTTTTTTGGAGGAATAATATATTACAATTTAGTGTGAAGTGTAGCGGGGAGGCAAATAAGAAGGGCATTCCAGTAATCAAACTGGGAAATGATGAAAGCATGAACTAGCATTTCTACATTGTTGCTGTTGAGCATTGGGGTGGGGCCCTGCAGTATTATGGAAATGGTAGAAGGCAGTCCCAGTGAGTGAGCTGTATTACCTGTGCTCCATCAATGTCAATAAATATATCAGAACAGGTGTTAAAAAGAGGTTTGGGACCAATTAATAGGACATCTGTTTTAGTCTGTCGTGAGTTTAATGAAACTGGAGCTCATCCAGATTGTAATTTCACGGATACAGATACAGGCGATCAGTGACGGAGGGCAGAGGAGTAGAGGGGCTGGAACTGACTTAGGTCTGAGTGTGGAAAGACATGTTGATGTAAAACAACTTGGTCAAGTCAAAGTTTTGACATTGCTTCATATAGTATGTGTCCAAAACAATACTAATTAGCTCCTTTAAGCTGCACCCATTGCTAAGGTGCATGCATAGGCCTGCGTGATCACCATGCCCAATGCCAGGCGTCAGCTAGAGGGATGTAAAGAGTTGGCATGGTATTCCAGAACTAATCATCAAAAATCAGTACCTGACCTCACTAATGTTTTTGTGGCTGAATGCAATCAAATCTTCACAGCAATCTTCCAATTTCCCAGAAGAGTAGGGGCTGTTATTGAGGCAAACTTAGATGAACAGGTGTCTACAAACATTTGGACATATACTTTATCTTATCGCTGATTAACACCATCAAGTGTAACTACAAATACATTGACATTTTGTACAAATGTACGAATAAGCAATTTTAAAGTATATACATATCAGCTGTAATTCAGCATTGCTTGGAGAAAAGGTACAAATTGTCAGTTTATGCTCTCCCATCATTTCTATTATGAAAAGCTAATCAGTGGAGTCACAGTGAAAACTTCAATATCGCATGCTAATAAGCATTTTAGTTAAAACAACAACCATGCTCCTGGAGATTTGTTTTGAAGCAAAACCTGCAGGAAAGTAGATCTTCAGGAGGAGGACTGGTGGTCACTGAAAGATATGCAACTTTCTGTGATATTGTTACTCTTTTTGTAGCCTCTTTTCTTTCTTCCCTGTAACTCTGTTCTGTGATTAACCAGCATGCTGCTTTTGCTCTGTATGTGAAATGTTGTGACTTTCTGTTGAGCTGCTAGTGAGCAGTGATGGGTGATAGGAGAGGGGTGAGAACCCCCCACTGTGAAAATAAGTCACTCCTTTCCACAATAACGGCTGTGCTGAGATAAAGCGAACTGCACAACTGCAGTATTCTTCCCATCCATCTTTTTTTTTAAAATGGTTTCATTCATTTACGTTGTTGAAGATAATGGTAGTTAAAATTGACCAGGGAGACCAGAGATCAGTCTGCCTGAAAACAGTCATAGCCAGAGATGGAAACCATTATGCATTCCTAAGTAAAAATTAAGCACCCACTCAGAGTTTTTCATCGTCTACATTTGTGTCGATTAGTCAAAAGTCAAAATCTAAACTGTACTGTGGTGCGCGGCACTGATTGGATCTGTAGCCTGATCACTAGGTTAGCTAGTCGGCTACTGATCCAAACACCACAGAACAGGTTTCATATCACATTTTTGTGCCTCCAATACTGACTGATTTGAGTTATTATGATACTTGAAAACTGTGCACTGCATTCACTTGTTTGGTGACAGTGTAAACAAACCTAATTCTTTTTGACTTTGAAATGCAGGATTTTTGTTTTGCTATTAATGTATAGCGCAAAAATATTTGGAAATGCAACACTAGAATAAAGTGTAGATGCCAACATCTGCACCTCTAGGGGTTCTGCATCCTGCTTCATGTGATCCAATGCCATAAAGGTCAACACACCACCAAAGAATTTCACCATTTGCAATTTTTGGCCGCGTGGAATCTGTCAGTGTGTAAATCAGAGTGATACCCAGTGCTGAATGGTTAAAAACACTCAAACACATCAGCGCAGGTCTGTTAAACAAGTGTTCACACTTTGCCGTGATGTTTCATTTGAAACTGTGCATTTATGCAAATTAGGGGTTTATTTTTGTTTTGATTAGCATTCTAAATGAGAGAGAGGAGGAGGAAAAGTGTGTGTGTGCTTGCATGTAAAATCACCTCTGATTAATTACCCTCATTTAGTTCAGCCCCTAACGAGTCCATATGGGCTTTTAGGATTTCATTAAGTCCCTGAAATCACAGATTTGGATCTTGCTAATTTCCAACTATTACATTTTTCTGCATTTGAGTTATAAAGTCCAGTGTCTT